TGATTCTGTTAGTACAAAGTTACTCTGAACACTGATATCCCCCCCATCTAACACTGTGCAGGAAACTTAGAGATTTCTCCGACCATTGATTTGGACAGAAAAATCCAGAATTTTTTTTTCCTCCTTACTACTGATTCACCATAAAGTTTTGGACCTAAGATGAAAACATTTGTCACAATGGCAAGTAGGTACAATTACTTACTTTTAATTGACTTAATTTGATTTTTAGACCTCAGTCTAAGGACAAGGGTGTACTGAAAAGAATAAAAGTTGAAAGTCCAAATCCAAATGTTTCTGAAACATGAAGGAAAAGCAACCAAAAATGTTTATTTAAATTCGTATTGTTACTAATTAAAACATATCAAACTGCAAAGTGAAAGGCAACAAAAGTACCTTGAGCTGATAGTTGTAGCAACTAAGATATTATTGAGAAAAAAACAGCTGTGGAAATTACAAGTTATACTCTATTCCTGTAGATCTGACTCTAAAATAAGCCTTTCCTTAAGGATTTTATTTGAAATCTTAACCTATTTTTTCCCCCAAAACGAAGTCAGAAACTTAATTGGTCTCTGTAGCAACGTACCTATTTTCTGACTCATTCTGATAAAGGTATTTATGTACTTTAAGTATGCAGATTATACTCACCAATGTGCAAGTAGCATATAGTCCGAAGTACGTGAAAGGCAGAAGTTATCAGATGGAAAATAATGTCTGTATCAAGGCCTATGGCAGTCAAGGTACAAAGGCAGTTCATTGAACCTATTACCCTGGGAAGACAAGGGACATGAAGCCTGAGGTAACCAACGCTGAAAATCTCATCTTGTATTGATGAACTAGCTGGTGTCTAATGATACCAGATTGTTCTTCCTTATCTCATGTCAGTACCAGCACAGAGAGGAATCTGACAAATTCACTACAGTCATTAGGTGAGCTTGAGATTTTGTTTCACTCTGAACCCTTCCCCTGTATGTGACATTTCTTTTCAGTGAGAGAAAATTAGTTTGTCACAACTACATAGTAAACATTACATTTTCTGGCATGTTAAGTTTCACAAAGGCTAAGATATGTTGATAATCTTTTGATCTGTGTATGCACCGTAATATCTAGATTATTAACTGTGACTTACCAAATGTTTTAAAGATGTTAAGGTATGTATGAAAAATACTGCCATATGAAAAGAAAACAAGCAGTTATGAGAATTGAAGAAAGTTACATTTTCCTTCATTTGTAGTAACAGAAGCATCTCTTACTTAAGGGTTTCAAAGTACTTCATGTGCATTAATTTGATAATTGCACACCTCTCTGAGAAGAAGTTAAGCTTTATTTCTGTATGACAACTGAACAAACTGCTGAGATTCAGCAGTTCAGGGCATGATCCTCAAATCCTTAATTACCTATCCCTCAGAAGGGGACTAAGCCTGTAAGCAGTCCACCTCAACAGAAGGAACCATGACTAAGTGTGGTGCACTTCTGCAACATATTCTTCTTCATTCAAAAATATTAACATAATTTTCAGAACATAGCTTAGTTTAGTGGTTTGAACGTTAAAAATAACATCCATTTCTGCAGTTTCCACACACATTTAATCCTCGAGAGATTCAGATACCATAAAAGTTTTCCTATGTATCAAAGATCCAAGCAGTTCAGCTCACACTGTGAGATGTATTTGTTTCCCAACCGCATTAGTGTTAGGTACAACTCTGTTTGCAAAAGCTGCACTTTTCGTTCATTCTGATTGGGATAAAAAAAGAATAGTCATCTGATGAAAGGTTTCCAGAGGCAGGTTCTATATGCCTCTAAAGATCAGTCAGCAACTAGATAATACCAAATCTAACGGATGCACACACCATTTTTCCTCGGTCAATAATAAATTAGTATGGAAGTTTTGTACTTCTCACAGTGTTATCACAAGAAAAAGTTAGTCATAATCTTCAAATAAATGAATGGCCATGTCTGAATTTGTTTTAAATATCAGAAAAAGCATCTTTGCTCGTAATTCAATAGTAAACCAAAAAGAAGCACCTGCTGACATAAGGAATTAATTAAAATCTTGGAAAGGAGCTAGTCTTGTGAAAATAGCTTACAAAAAAATCTGTAATTTCATAACAAAAACTGCCTGTGCTTCTTATAGATGAAAGACTTAAAAATAAACTGCATTTCACTTAAAAAATGAAAAGGTAGTTTAAAAACATTGTCAGAATTATTTACTTTTATGAGCTTGAAGTCTGACTAGTGCATTTATTTGAATGACATAAGGCTTTTACTTTTCTTTTGATACAATTTTAATAAAAACGGATTGTCTCTACTAAAAAGACACAGCTGTGGTATCTTTCCCTTCCTCTCCTCTCCCCCCCCAACAAAGGTATACACAATATATGTAGAGAAAGAATATAGGAGGGGAAGGACATACTGTTGTAAGAGACTATGACTCTTATTAGTGACAGTGTAGTCCTTATTTCTGAGATGTGATCTAGTTTTTTATTCACTTTTATTCCTTTCATTTTAAAGCGAGAAAGTAGAATAGAATCCAAATTAAAACTGAAAATACCAAGTTTATATGTATTCCCAAATTTGCAGAAACGTCCCTAAAGGCAGTTAGCAACTTCAATCATTTAAATATACTGTATAAACTATTTATGTTATTTTTCAGTAGCAAAGTCTTCTCTTTATTTTAAATTTTATATACTGCAGCTTCCCTTAAATATCACATCTCAGCTAACTCATAAACAACTACGCGTTCACTGACTTACACAGAGAAGTTCTACTACAATACAACTTGAAAGGGCTGTAATGAAGTAAAAAAGAGAAAGAAAAAAGAGATAAAGGAAAGGTCAGTAGCTATACCTCTAAATTTAAAGGATGATCTGTAACAGAGCTTGTAAAGCCATTTGTTATCAGACCAATTTTCAGCAACTGTCCTGTAAGGGGTTGGTAGGAGGCCATTTTTGTGGTGTTTCCTTCACATTACTCACAATAAGATAATCTCTTCAGCTGTCTACAACTTATTTTCATCATTCTATGCAATTTCAAGGAGAAACATTTTGGGGAAGGACTGAGAAGAAAGATTCTAGAAAAGCTTGCTGTACCAGTGCCAGGATGATAAAGACATAAGGAAATGAGGAAAATTGGGTATTTTTTTCCTCCCTGAATGACTGATTCACTTCCTCTGATTGAACAATTTATTCTGTTCATAATCATATATATTTATATATTTAATACAATTAAAGAAATACTTTAACTCTCTTCAAAAGCAGCATCAGCTGCTACACACCTGGGAGGGAAATAACTAAAAACTGAAATAATTAAAACTGAAAGATGAGAAAGGCACAAACACAAACAGTAAATTGTTTTAGTACAGAATTAAAGTGTTTAATTGTAAGCTCTGTGAAATATTGAAACAACTTGCTAGTTTTAATATGATAACTGTACTGTAAGAAGGCTTTGTGCAGGCCACTGAATTTTTTCCCTCTCCCCCTTGTCCCCCCCAGTAAAAAAAGGAAAATGGAGCCATCCTCACTACATATGCATTTTAAAGAAAATCACTGACAATTTACCTAATTATATATTAAACATCAAATTATGTACTACTGCTTCTGTTTCACCACACTGAAAATATGGTCATATACTTTATTTTCTGTGAGTATTTTCTTTTTTTTTTACACTTGAAGCATTACAAGGATACTATTTTAGATATGCTTTACCTAGATTAAGTTTCTGATTTCTTGCAAGAAAATATAAACTTCATTTGATAGAAACATTTGAAAGAAATACAGAAATATTATCAGTAGTAGAAATGATACTAACTGAATAAACTATTTCCCATAGTTTTTCAGGAGGCAATATGCTCTTTAAAATTCTACTGCATTAGAAGCATGTATACAGGCCTTAAAAGCTGATGTTGCAACAAATTCAGAGAAAGCCTTAATACAATACACATAACATAAAAATTGCAAATATATATATTTCCATGACAAATCTAAATTTTATACAGTCTTTAGATAGTAGAATGTGAAAAGTGACCCATGTCTCAGCTCTTAGCACAGCTAGGCATAGAACAGAGAAAAGCTGCCAAGAGCTGAAAATTCACACTTCAGAAGAAGAATCTTTGATTAGCTTACTCGACTAAGTCTAAGACATATTCTTTGCCTTATCACTGCAAAAATTGAGGTGGAGACATGAGGAGTCTTAAACAGAAAAACAACAGGTTAACAAATGCTAGAGGAAAAAGATTTTAACAGGAGGAGTTACTCCCCTCCCCACTGAAATGATCCAAGAAGGGTAATGTTTTTTTCTTACTACAGCTTACTTCCAACTTCTCCCATATGAAGCATGTCAAGTATGTGAAAGGAATTAGAAGTTGCCTAAAAGAGTTTATAGTCTCCATCACAGAGGAAGATGAACAATATTGCTTCAGCAGCAGTCAACAGCTGTTGCAACTCACAAGGATGCCAGTCCTGCAGAAAACAATCTCATCCTCCTTAGAGGATGGTACAGTAGCAGTGTTCTTTGTATGTTCCTTACCTTGAAATAAGCTACTTACCAGGATGACTTTTCCTTTGCCAAGTAAGGTACTTGCTACAACTACATAGCTTTTGATACAAAATCTGGTTTCTTTGAAGCTAAAATGGTACACCATGCACAGCACTGCAATATGCAGTATCAGGAGAAATATCATGACTTAAAATTAAGTCACTTTTCTCACTCAAGTCTTCCAAGTAAAGTCTTCTCAGCTAATAACTGAGCCTATCATCCTGAAAGTAAGCTGTAGAGCTCTGCTCTATCACATTTCCTTTGAAATAATAGAGATAATATTTCCAGCTGTGGCAAACCAGGTAGTTTCTTTACAATCAATACAATTAATCTGATCATTTGTTTCAACAAATGAAAGAATTTATCTCTGTTACTAAGAGCCAAGTAATTATCAATGCAAGGAGGAACTCTTACTACTATATATGTCAAAGATCAAATCTAGTAGAGACTGATGTACGTGTTCATCTGAAACTGGATGGTGTGGAGCTTTTTGTATGTTTTGCTTTTTTAAAATTTGTGGCAATTTTTCCTCATACTGCTTTATCTCCAAGGCAAGACCATGTTGTTCGTGGAAAGCATTTATTTATTTTGCTTTGTTTTTTTTCTTACTGTCTTCATACTGTCAACAGATAGCTCAAGGAATAAAGTACTTTTCTGACTGAATACAGAAAAAAACTGTGACTTGGAATTGCAGTACCTATTGTGACAGAATTTATTCATGATGTTCCTTAAGATTAAATCTAGTTTTGAAAGGTGGTAGAACTTACATGTCTTATTGAAAAAAAATTTCTTAATGAAAAATACGTACTCAATAGTGGTCAAGCACTGGAATGGGCTGCCCAGGGAGGTGTTATAGTCACTGACCCTGAAGGTGTTCAAGGAACAGTTGAATTTTGTGTTGAGGGACATAGTTTAGCGAGTACTATTGGTGATAGGTGGATGGTTGGACTGGATGATCTTGAAGGTCTTTCCCAACCTTAATGATTTTGTGATAGCATTTCCAACCGGAGAAAGGAACAAAAATTGTTTTCTTCCAGTTTTTGAAATTATGAATCAATTACACATCATGAATTTGATAAAAATGAATGAAAGAGTGCATCAAATATTTTCGATTCCTCGTCCTTCCACATGCTCAGAGAATCAGTAAGTACAATGCAGAACTAATAAATTATTTAAACTATAATAAAGGAAGCAATAAACTGCCTTTATTCACCTGTGCTTTGAATATGATGCTTTT